GTATTTTGTAAAGTTGTATGTTTTGTTTAAATGATCTATGTAGTGTTTCCTATATGTATTTTGTAAAGTTGTATGTTTTGTTTAAATGTTCTGTGTTGTGTTTTCTATGTGTATTTTGTAAAGTTGTATGTTTTGTTTAAATGTTCTATGTGTATTTTGTAAAGTTGTATGCTTTGTTTAAATGATCTATGTAGTGTTTCCTATATGTATTTTATAAAGTTGTATTTTTTGGGTAAATGTTCTGTGTTGTGTTCCCTATATGTATTTTGTAAAGTTGTATTTTGTGTAAAAGTTCTATGTCAATTTAAAACACTATTTGGAGATCTTCGTGTTTTAGTTCTACAGAGATCAGACCCGAGAGAGAATGAAAACATAACCTATAGAACAGTAGAACGATGCTCATAATAACAAACGTTTGACATGTGTATGCATCTTAACAAACATTTAGTTATTGAACATTTTGGAATAAACATATGCCATCTTCTGCAAGCTATATTGAAAAAGGTAAATTATTAGGTACAAAAATTTATAAAGTTTAAACATTTTAATAAAAATTTTTAAAATACAGAATAAAAGGATGAACATTAATAAACAATGACTATCCCTTGCATTTTATTCAAGTCCTAACACTCAACTTCCTTTCTCACAAATTTGAACCCCCAAAGAAACCATACACTAAGACCGCTAGTTCCTTTTTTAGGCAAGTAAAGTTTCAAAGTGAAGTCACAAATATTAAAAATAATTAAAACATTTTATCCACAAGTTCAACTACAAATGATATTTAAATCATCTTTCAAAACACAAAATATATTCAGACCTAAAGACCTCTTACTACTCCTATGCGTTCTAGGATCGAGTATAAATACACATGTGGTGGCTGTAATGTAACTTACATTGGAAAACTATAAACCAATTACACTTGTAATCATGTAGGAGTATCAAGCAGAACTGGTAACAACTACCAAATCCACCAGACTCCACAATTAACACACATAGTGAAAACCAATCTTGATTATGAATTTCATCTCATCTGGATCATCCAAAATTACACTTTTAATTAAAGAAAATTTATTTAACTCTCAACTTTAAATAATAACACTACCATTAAGTCTATTTGGAATAATTTATATAATAATTATTTTTTATTGGTTATTTGTTTGTGTTTTAATTTATTTCATCCTTTTATTCTGTATTTTAGTTAGATTTTATAAAATGTTTAAACTTTATAAAATTTTGTACCTAATAATGTATCTTGTTCAACATAGCTTGCTGGAGATGGAATACGTATATTCCGAAACGTTCGAGAATTCAATGTTCGTTATGATACAGAAACGGATCACGTTTGTTGTTGCTGCCGTCGTTCTACTGTTCATCATTAAACTTTGATTCCTTCAACCTACAGAAGTATCAACTGTAATCCAGTCTGTGTGAGTAAACATGCTCTAGTTTCTTATGTTTTATTATAGAAATAGACTTTTTTTATTTCATCACACTTAACCAGTCTCCTTATTCCACATAAACAAAGAATCTCAGTCAAATTATTAAATATGGTATTCTACATATTTGCTGGTCATTGGTTTATCAGATACTTCTAGGGAAATCAGTTCACATGTAAATACCACATGTAAATATCACATGTAAATATCACATGTAAATACCATATGTAAATACCACATGTAAATACCACATGTAAATACCACATGTAAATATTACATGTAAATACCACATGTAAATATCACATGTAAATACCACATGTCAAAAAGACATAATATTTATAAAACAGTACTATTACAAGTTCTGCTGAATTTTTACTATCCTTTCTATGTCATTAACTGGATCATTAAAAGGTAAACATAAACTGTTACAAGTTGCATAGAAATACTCTTTCACAGAAAATAAATAAGACTAAATCTAAGTTACCTTTTTATATACAAAGATGATGTCTCCATTCTTAAACAGGGAGACTTGAAATGTAAATGTGTCAGCTGATAAGAAAAAGAAGTATAATATTGTTATTTTGATAAACAATGTCTACTATGTGAATAATTAAATTTTTCTTTACATTACTTTTCTCAAATATAGAACTTTATGTTGAATAAATACCATTATATATTATACTTTGTCTGTTTCACATTTAGCAAAAAGAAACAGAATACTGAATGTGTATCGAAGGTTCACTGGCTGAGCAAACACAAAATATGGGGATTAATCTAATTCAAAATTAGTAAACAGAAAAAGACATTACTCTCATTTCGTAAGGCCACTTCATCCCACTGAACAACAAATATCGTACCTGGAAAAAACAACAAGAATTTACTGCAAATCAAAAAGAAATGATTGTATGCACACAAAGAAACCAAAAGTAAACATAGAGAATCTCCTAGTAGTGTCTTTACTTGACAGTCTTCTAGTAGTGTCTTAACTTGATAGTCTCCAAGTAATGTCTTTACTTGACAATCTCCAAGTAATGTCTTAACTTGACAGTCTCCAAGTATGTCTTTAGTTGACAATCTCCAAGTATGTCTTTAGTTGACAATCTCCAAATAATGTCTTTACTTGACAATCTCCAAGTAATGTCTTTACTTGACAATCTCCAAGTAACGTCTTTACTTGACAATCTCCAAATAACGTCTTTACTTGACAATCTCCAAATACTGTCTTTACTTGACAATCTCCAAGTAACGTCTTTACTTGACAATCTCCAAGTAACGTCTTAACTTGACAATCTCCAAATAATGTCTTTACTTGACAATCTCCAAGTAACGTCTTTACTTGACAATCTCCAAGTAACGTCTTAACTTGACAATCTCCAAGTAACGTCTTTACTTGACAATCTCCAAGTAATGTCTTTACTTGACAATCTCCTAGTAGTATCTTTACTTGACAATCTCCAAATAACGTCTTTACTTGACAATCTCCAAATAACGTCTTTACTTGACAATCTCCAAGTAACGTCTTTACTTGACAATCTCCAAGTAATGTCTTTACTTGACAATCTCCAAGTAACGTCTTTACTTGACAATCTCCAAGTAGCGTCTTTACTT